GAGCAGACAAAAAACAATGAGCATGCACATTATAAAGGTTTTATAGCAAAATAATTTGTGTTCTTTATCTTTGCATTCAGTGATTGCCACTTGACATAAATGCTTGTTGAACCAAGCCTGAGATAATGATTGAGCTAAGACTTGAAGGTGAGCAGGAGCTCATGAAATAAAAATGTAGGGAAAATGTATCCTAAAGATAATATTTAATAATGTATTAAATTAATATATGAACAAGTGATCAAATAGGACAAAGTATATTCAAAAACACAGTCTTTCAAATAACTCAGTTCATCAGGAATATAGGGTTCACAAGGGGAGAGAATGACACATGAGATTAGAGAAGTGGATCAGGGCCGGATTCACAAAGTGCCTGCATTTAAACAACAATTTTTGTTGAGCTTCTAACATGTGCCAGGCACTGTGCTCAATGCTGAGGGTGTAGCATGCAACCCCTGCTCTCAGGAATCCTTTGTTCATTTCTCATACCTCACTTTATCCTGTGAGGAGCCTTTGAGGAGCTGGAAGCAGAGCTGTGGCATAACCATTTTCAGGTTTTAGGAAGATCACTCCAGCATGATAGGTTGGATAGTAGGTTGGAGCAGGTGATACTGAGGGCAGGAAGACAGGTAGGAGACTTGTAACTGTCTGCGTGAGAGATGATGAGGGGCTGAGCTAAGGCATTGGCAGTGGGAATGGAGAGGGTAGGCTCCAGAGCTCAAACTCGTTCTGAAACTTAGAGCTCCTTTTCCAGGGCACTTGACACCCTCTTCAGATGAGCAGAGTGTAACTCACTGTGGGCTAGACGTGCCATTCCTGCTCCCCCTTCCTAAATGCCTGTGCCCCACAGCTCTTTTGCTCAGACCCCTCCTTTCCAGCTTAGGGTACAGTTCAAGACCACCTATAGCTCAAGCTCTCAGAAGTCTCTTAACACTCTTACTTGCTGCTGTCCTACCTTTGGTGACTAACTGCCAGAATAGGATAGAGAGCAGAGGTTATTGTTTTAGGTTGCTGTCGTATCTCCCTGCAGTTGACAGCTGCTTGAGGGCAGAGATGCTGTTTTGTTCTTCCTTGCACCCTCAGGCCCTAGAATGGGCAGAAACAGTACATGTTCCTGAAGACTCTCGCCCCCAGCTTTGTGTAACACACCAGAGGTACTGATGGCTAAAAAATTCCATCACCACGCTCCTGTCCAGCACTGTCTGAGGAAGGCTAATCTCCCTTAAGCACACTTCTTGAGTCACTCTCTACTTTTAAACCTCCCACAGCTTCTCATTTCCCCTTGAACTCTTCTTAGCTTCTATGGTCAATCAATCCTTTCACTCCATATTCCCCCAGTAGATACCTCTGCTGTCATCAGACAGAGGCTTGTTCAGACAGAAACACACCTCGTTAAGGTCTGCTTCTGATTCTTACTGTCACTTACGGTGATCCCCTGTCCAGAGGCTTCCCTCGCTGATCCCTCTGTTGGTCTAGAATCAAGGACATCCTTCAGATCTCAGAAACCCACCCAGTCCCATATGGTTCCAGCTCTCAGAGATCTCCCTACAGCTAAATTGTGGCACTCCCAGCATGTCCTTTAGCTGGGGCAGTTATTCTGGACTTGCATTTTCTGTTCTCTGGATCCTTTTTTCCTCATCTGTGTTGGGAGCTGCTTGAAGGTTGCTGTCTCAAGGGTAACTGGTACATTTCCAGACATGTAGGTCTCACAAAAGCAATTAGAGGACTGTCATAAGACAAAACTACTTCTGTGACCCCCATCTTATCAGACAATTGCATTCTCCCTTCTACAAATTTTTGTATATAAGCAATGCTGAGAAAGAAGTAGCTCTCTGAAATGGCAACTCCAAGACTTCATTGAAACTTTTAACATCTGTTGGTCAATCCTCCTGCTGATACTGAGTCACCACTCATTCGTGGTGATTCTAAACCTCATTTTATGATTCACATTCTAAAAATGGGGTGAGGTTTTTACCAAGAAACTAATTCCAGTATGAACTTAACCTCACAATTATTGTGTTCTTCTGTGGGTTTCCAGCTGCTAGCACAGCACTTTTCAAGGTCTAATTTCTTATGGCTTATTGGTGTGGCTCTTCTATGGCAAATACCTAAAATACATTTTATGGATTTATAGTATAGAATATGATGGGGGTTCCATGTGATCAATTTTTTCCACCAGACAGTCATTGTCTGTCACCAGCCCATGTCTGGTCTGGAACATGTGAAGGAAAGATAGATAAAGTTTTGGGGCTCTTTTTTCGTTCATACATTCTGAGGAATGGTCTTGGTTCCTTGGCCAGAGTGCACCTATATCTATAATGAAGAGGATTTAGAATCTGCCTTCTGGGCACTGTAGCTGAGCAAGTGACTCTACTTAGTATCTAGAACTTCTTGAACAATGACTGAAACCAGAATCTGCACATGACAGAAATGGAGTGGTTTCATGAAATCTGCATTCTAGTCCCAGGACTTCTACGAACAAGTTATGCAACCTTGGGCGAGTCATTTAACAGCAGCAGCAGTGCTGGCGGTAGCTAACATTCATAAAGGGTTTGGAATGGAGCCTGGGGCCCAGTAAGCCCTCTGTAAGGTCATCTACTGTTTTCATTGTCATTGTTACAGAGGGTTTATTACATCCAGTCCTGAGTACTTGGCGTACATTATCTCATTTAATCCTTAGAATTATGGAGTGAGTTTTTAAATTCTTGCTGTACAAGGGTAAACTGAAGCTTAAAGAGGTTGAGTTATGAGTCCAAGACTGTAAAGGACTCCAAGACTGTATAGGACTCAAATCCAAACAACCTAATTCTGGGCCCATGATCACAATCTCTATTGGTGCACCTGATTTCCTTGGGCCTCAGTTTTCTCATAACACCTGAAGTTGTTGATCTTTAAAACCTTCCAGTTTAAAATTTTTAAATATTTTCCCCTTACCTTCACCTTCCTCCCCTATTTACTTCCCTACCCCACTTATCCATGACGTTTGCTGGGTTCGTCATCACAGGATCGGCAGGATGTTTTCCCTGTTGAGTGATGACACTGCATGTGTCAGCATAGGGACTTGTGTGTGTGTATGTGTGTGTGTTTTTTTTTTTTTTGAGGCTGCAGTGGGGCTGGTTTACATGCTGCTGTCGTTGAAAGAGGAGGAATCTGACTCTTCAATTTTACTGCCTTATCTTGGCCCGCAGCCATTACCACATTGACACACATTTGACAGGGCTTGAGAAAGGCATCATAGGCAGAAGCCAGTGGGAATCAGCTCTTTGTGCTTGTGGACCCTGCGCTGCTCTCTGGTAAGATCTGGTTTGGGAGACCTGCCCTCTCCAGGCCGTCTGCATATGTCTGGCCTTGTGATTGGCAAGGATCTTAGGAGAGGGACTTGGAGAAGAGGCTTCTGGGCTTTCCATCCTTTATATAGCTTGGGATGTGCTGGCAAACTTTCACACGGGGAGTTTCCCAGACATTTCATTACAGTTCCATTGTAATTGATATTTGTAAAGTACTTAAGTTGGGTGATAGCCTATGGATACTGTATTCTGTTGTACCTTTTTGTGGCTGTGACCCCAGGGTTAGAGTGTTTTGGCTGCAGAAGACCTGGACTCAAGGGTTGGATCTATCACTTCTTGGAGTGATAGGAGTGACCTTACACAGGGAACATCGAACACACATGGCTTCAACTTGTTTATTCTTTGGGTGAGACCTTATTATGAAAAAAAGTCAGTTAGCCACTGTGCTGAGATTTGTAAGCTCTTCCTCTTAGGAGCCTAGAGGAAGCATTTTAAGAACCTTAGAGTACCAAAAGGGCCTGGAAACACTAAAAGTGTTAGGTAAGTCACTTAATTTTTCTCAGCCCAAATTTTTTTATCCATAGAAGAATTAGAGTACTACGTGTCCTACTCAACAAAATGGGTATTGAATCAAGTGAAGTATGGTATGAAAATGTGTTTCTGAAAATTATAAATTCTATATAAACATTAGTGGTTTTTAGAAAGCATCGTGTGCCAAAACTAATTATTTTAAATAACAAAAAAGCAAAAGCTATTAATGTTTCTACTGATTTTCCCACGTAGAGATTATTTACTGCAGATGATAACCTATAGTAAAATTTCCTAAAGTTTTCATTGTGCACCAGTTGGAAGGCTGTGAGTTAAGTTGTTCTAGAAACTATCTGAATATTGTGTATATTCAGTTAATAAGAACTGATATTCAAGGTATATAGTAGCTCTTTTGTGGAAGCACATTAGTTTTGGATAAATTCAGATTTTATTAATTCATTATTAGATCAAGAACTAGGTTCAGGTTGTAAAAAGATATTATTATCATAAACAAAATTATGTCAATTAAGCATCTTTCTGTATTTCTAGAACATAATTGCGGTATGAGCAAAGGCTAGACCATTGTAACTAATTTAAATAGGCCTAGATTGAAAATGTTTCTCTAACTCACATTTTTCCCTAGTACAGACATTCCCTATCCTCTTACTACAAATGAATAAGATCACTTCATTTCTATTTGTCTTGATTGATAAACGATGCTTGGAGGTACCATTTCTGCCAAAAATTTAAATCGGACTTACAAACAGTTACCTGCCTAAGGCAAGAGACTGGACTAATTTAATAGAAAAAGAACATGCTTTTATTTTGCCAGCTGGTAAAAGAAAGTGAAAGCGTTTTGAAAAGTTTTAATATTTGTTTTACAATGATAGTATTATAGATGACAATATTTCTAAAATACAATAATTAGGGAAATTAGAGAATCTAATTGCTGAAATTTGTGTAATTATTTACAAGTGTGATATGAAGACTTACCTAGAAACCTTGATGCTAAAGACAGACATTTCAGTATAAAAGTTGAGGGCATGACAGGAACAGAGTGAAGTAAGGCAAGTTGGAAACCACCCCAGGCCTTCTTGTGGGCAGCGCTAAAAGCTCTAGACCTATGTGGATTCAGTATAATGTGATGGTTATCCTTTTACATTTTTTGTTTGTGTGTTTGTTAAACAGATTTCTGCCTGGCAGATTAACCAACGGCAAGAGGGGCTGATCTGTCTACATTCTGAGTACTGCCCTTGGCAAGACACCTAGAACAGACCCTGGACCGAAGTCCACCGTACTACCATACCCCTACTCCAGCCCACCCCAGACAGTATTCTGGGGTTCACCTGAGGTCAGCAGTGTGAAGATGACCAGTGCCTTTTTAGCATGACGACTTTGGACCATGTGATTGCCACCCACCAGTCAGAATGGGTCTCCTTCAATGAAGAGCCACCCTTTCCTGCCCACTCGCAGGGTAAGGAGTGCCTTCATTTCCTAAAGCGAAGAGATTGTCAGACAACCATGTCTATTTGTTCTGGCTTCTACTTGATTATTCTTTGGGTGGGATCTTAATATAGAAAAAAGAGTCAGTTTCTTTCTTTCTTTCTTGAGATCTTAGAATCCTAAGTGGAAGAATTTACACACTGAAGAAACGTCTTGGAACCTTAGGGCCCTAAAAAGAAGCTTGGAAACACCAAAAGTATTGGCTCTTTTCTCCCAAGAAACAAAAACCTAATATTTACCAAGTGCTTTACTTTCAGCCTTTTTAAAATGTAGTTGTGTAAAAGTAGTTGTTAAAAATGACAACTCTGAAACCAGAGTGCTTGGGTTCAGAGCCCTGTTGCACCAGGAATGAATGATACGCTTTTGGGTAGATTATTTATTTAACCTCTCCAAGCATAGTTTCATTATCTGTACAGTAGGGATAATCAGTACCTATCTCACAGGTTGTTGTGAGGCTTAAGTGAATTCATACATAAAAGTGCTTAGAGCAGTGCCTGGCATGTGGAAGGAGCTCAGTACGGTCATACTTGATCATAAGGAGGATGACTATATTGACTTTAGAGAACTTGTGCTCAGGGATGAAGGTCAAGGTAGGATCCAGGAGATATTTGCAGAGACATGTCAGTTGATTCTGTTCTACTGCAGCTACCAGTGCCTACTGAAGTCATCCCACCTTCATTTATAACACCTAGGAAGTGTGAGTCAACAGGTATGCTCTCCAATATGGTGGCCATGTGATTATTGAGCCCCTGAAATGTGACTAGTCTGAATTGGGATGTGCTGTAAGCATGAAATACCTATACTAAATTTCAAAGACCTAGTTTAAGAAAAAAATTAAATAGCTAATTAATTTTATATTTGTTACATGTTGAAATTACAAATTTTCAACATATTGGGTTGAAAGGTAGATAATTAAAATACTTTCTCCTGCTGTGATTAATTTTTTTCATGTGGCTACTAGAAAATTTAAAATTACATATACAGCTCACATTGTATTTCTGTTTGACAGAGTTATAGAGGCTTTGAGTACTTGTAGATGGACCAGTTGGCTAGTGATGGGAGAAAAGATTTTTATATTAATTATTTGATTAAAAAATTTCTAAAGAAAAATTGACTTCTTTTGTTGTACAGCTGATGAATTTCAGCACATGTATAGATTTGTATATCTATCACCATAATTAGGATATAGTTTTTGTTGTTGTTGTTTTGAGACAGAGTTTCACTCTTGTTGCCCAAGCTGGAGTCCAGTGGCGTAATCTCGGCTCACTGCAACCTCTGCCTCCCGGGTTCAAGTGACTCTCCTGCCTCAGCTTCCCAAGTAGCTGGAATTACAGGCATGTGCCACCACGCCCAGCTATTTTTGTATTTTTAGTAGAGACGGGGTTTTGCCATGTTGGTCAGGCTGGTCTCGAACTGCTGACCTCAGGTGATCCATTCACTTTGGCCTCCCAAAGTGTTGGGATTACAGGTTTGAGCCACCACGCCTGGCCAGTTTTTTTAATTTTCAAAAAAAATTTGAAGTCTGTTAAATTTTCTAGGGCCAATCAAGTGATACAGGGCTACAGGATTAGCCTCTAGGTTACATTCAACTGGTCATTAGTGCACACGGGTTTGCACCTGGTGTCCTGTGGCTGTGTATAGCGTAGACTGCAAAGTTTGAAATTTGAATTTGAATGTCTTCTGACAAAAGTGCTCCTGTTTAGCCACAGTCTCCACCAGTCCCTTTTGCCTTTCACTTGTCCCACTTGACGCAGGTATATTTCTTATTTGACCTCTGTAAACACTTTCCTTTGTGACCCCCAAGCACTGGAATAGATGCTGGGATAAGAATAGTGAAGAAGGCTCCTAGTCTCTGCCTGCCAGGGTACTGACTGGAGACATGCTGAGCTTTACACATGATTGGGGAAACAGTCGTTTCACATGGAGTTAGATGGGTGTGGCTCTTTCTTCTCCCCACTCACTGCAGTGGTGAGTTGTGCTGGCACCCCATGGCCATCCTTAGTTTTTGCCTCCATGAGATGGCTCTGAAGAGCGGCCTTCCTCACATGATGGTGGTGTCTGGTATCTGTTTCAGGGGCCACGGAAGAGCACCTCCCAGGACTGTCATCTTCCCCAGACCAGTCCGAGAGCTCCTCTGGGGAGAACCATGTGGTGGATGGAGGCTCTCAAGACCATTCGCACTCGGAGCAGGATGACTCCTCTGAAAAGATGGGCCTCATCTCTGAAGCAGCTTCTCCACCTGGGAGCCCTGAGCAGCCCCCACCTGACCTGGCCTCGGCCATCAGCAGCTGGGTTCAGTTTGAAGACGACACGCCCTGGGCCAGCACATCTCCACCTCATCAGGAAACAGCTGAGACAGGTGAGGGGGTAGGAAGGTACCAGCTTGGTTATGCGCTCAGCAGGGATGCTTTTCAGTGAGAGGTCTGTAGGGCTGCCAGGATTCCATTTCACCTGCCCCCTGCCCCTGAAGCACCAGTCGCACAGGGGAGAGCAGACGGAGTTCTCATCTGGTTTAATTCTGTATCTGTTTTTGTTGACATAAGCATACAAAAGAATTTATGTGTTCTAGGACATTTCTAGTCCTTTACTCTTGTCCCTGGCTGTTGACTTGTCTTTAAAATAATGCATATATATTTTTCTATTAGGGATTGGAATTATATTTACTCAGCCCCTAAATTGTAAGCACCTTACATATAGAAATGAATGTTTCTGCTGGGTGTGGTGGCTCACGCCTATAATTTTATCACTTTGAGAGGCCGAGATGGATGGCTCACTTGAGGTTAGGAGTTTGAGACCCACCTGGCTAACATGGAGAAACCCTGTCTCTACTAAAAGTACAAAAATTAGCTGGGCATGGTCACGCACTTCTGTAATCTCAGCTACTCAGGAGGCTGAGGCACGAGAATTGCTGAACCTGGGAGCAGAGGTTGCAGTGAGCTGAGGTCGCACCACTGCACTCCAGCCTGGGTGACAGAGCGAGACTCTGTCTCCAAAAAGTAAAAAAAGAGAAATGAATGTGTGTGAACGTGTGGACCACTGACCATGTCTAAGCATGTCATCAACAGGATTTGTTAAACATGGATATTCTCACACCTCAGAACTCTTGAATCCGAATCCTTATGGGTAGGGGTGGTTGTATATGAGAAATCTCTTATTTTGTGGCATTTCAATGGCCAAAAGCTGCACTGGGGAGCTTAGTAAAGCTGTAGGAGTTGTTAGTCCCCACCCTGGTGACCTGGCTACTTCTTTGTTGTGCACCAAACTATGCCACAGGTGATTTGGATAAGCTTTGGGACTGTATTAGTTTTCTATTTGCTGCTGTAACAAGTCACCACAAGTGTAGTGGCTTAAACAACATGAGTTTATCATCTTATTATTCTGTATTTCAGAAGTCCGTCATGAGTGTCACTGGGCCAAAATCAAGGTGTTGGCAGGGCTGCGTTCCTTTCTGGAGGCTCTAGGGGAGAGTCTGTTTCCTGGCCCTTTCCAGCTTTCAGAGTCTGTCAACATTCCTTGGCATATGGCCCCTTCCTCTGTCTCTAAAGCCAGGAATGTGGCATCTCTCTGTGCCTTTCTTCTGAAGTCACATCTTTCCCTGACATCTGCCTCTATCTTCCATTCAGGACCTCTGTGGTTACATTGGGCTCACCAGGCATTAAGGACCTCTGTGTTTACACTGGACTTGCCAGGATAATGTCCCCATCTCAAGGTCCTTAACATAATCACATCAGTAAAGTTCTTTTGCCATATAAAGTAACACATTCACAGGTTCTGGAAATCAAGATGTGGACATCTTGGGGTGGAATGGGAGGCATTATTCTGTCTACCACAGAGACCTACTAGCAAAAAGCGGGGTTGGTATATTTTTCTGTTGGTGTGTTAAATGTTTTGCTAGTGTCATTTTTAAGGCTGATTCCTTTGTTTTTCAATGTGTTTTCAATACCAATACAAATGATTTTAAGAAAATATAAAACAATTCTGTTACAAACATTTATATTTTTGTGTAATAATTTGCACATTTATGTCTATTTTTTCATATTTAAACATCAGATTTCCCTTTTTTTTTTTTTTTTTTGAGAGGGAGTCTTGCTCTGTTGCCCAGGCTGGAGTGCAGTGGCACAATCTCAGCTTACTGCAACCTCTGCCCCTGGGGTTCAAGTGATTCTCATGTCTCAGCCTCCCGAGTAGTTGGGATTACAAGCACCTACCACCAAGCCCGGCTGATTTTTGTATTTTTAGTAGAGACAGGGTTTTGCCATGTTGACCAGGCTGGTTTCGAACTCCTTGACCTCAGGTGATCTGCCTGCCTCGGCCTCCCAAAGTGCTGGGATTCCAGGTGTGAGCCAGTGTGCCCAGCCTAAACATCAGATTTCTGCATTAATTGTCGTTGAGTCATGACTCTCAGTGCAGCATAGAAGAAGTGACAGGCCCAGACAGGCTTCCCTTCCTGAACACCTAACTCTGAGAAGGCCCTGGGCTAAGCATTGATGCATGTAGGGAAAAATTACCGAATACTGGGGCAGTGAATGAGCACAGATGTGTGTTCCTTCTGCTTAATATGATACATTTACTGCATACTTATTGTCTCAGTTTCTGTGCTCAGTGCCTTAACTACATCATCCCATGTACTCCTTACAACAATTGTATGAGGAAGGTATTTATATTAATCCATATTATATATGGTGGAGGAGACTCAGCCAGACAGTGCTTTGGGAATTCAACCAAGGTTGTGTGCTAGGAAATGGCAGGAGAGCTTCCGCACCAGGCCAACCGGCCCCAAGGTCTTGGCGCAGCCTTCGGATGCCCCGTGCTTTCCTTTCGTTTGCCTCACTCTTCCTGCTGCTGCTGCTGTTCTAGTACTCTCTGCTCCCTCATTACCCAGGAGGCAGTGGGGGCAAGGAATGGAAGGTAAGTGATGGATGGGGTGCTCTTTCTCCCCTTTGCTGCCCCAAAATGGCCATGCCTTCAGGTCATGGATTATATTCATGGCACTCAGATTCTTTCACATCTTATCTTCAGCCTCAAAGATTTCCTGATTGCTCAAAACTATTTATATGAGAGTCAGTTTGCTCAACTCTTCACTGATTTTTGCAAAATTAATTTTGAGATTAGTTATAATTATGTTGCCCCCATCTGACTGAGGATCTTATCTTGTGACTGACAATGCTTCTGATATATTGTGAAAGCTTTACCCTTTAAGGCAGCAATTCACAATCTGGCCCATAGTCCTTGGGGTCTCCTAAGACCCTTTCAAGGGGTCTTTCGGGTTAAAATCATTTTCATTCTAATTCTAAGATGTTATTTGCCTTTTCACTGCTTTGACATTTGCACTGATGGTAAAAAAGTAACAACAGATAAAACTGTTGGCCATTGTCTACTCACAGTAAAGCAAAATGTCTATTTCACCCAACAATATCCTTGATGAGGCAGTAAAAATTATGAATTTCTTAAAATTGTGATTCTTGAGTGTGTCTTTTTAACATTCTCTGTGACAGATTGGGAAAAAATACATGAAACACTTTTGCTCCATATCAAATCGTAATAATTGTCTTGAAAAAAAAGTATTTTTTAATTTTTAAGAATTCAGTTTAAAAATTAAAGTTATTTTAAAATTATTAAAATCACGTAATGCAAAAAGTTCTTAATGAACAAAATACCAGTATTTTAAAGACAAGATCCAACTAACACTTGCATGACTATGCCACACTTGGCCCACCCTTATCCTGGACCTGGTTTTCCAGGAATTTTCCTAAAGTTTAGTTAAAGATGGGGTCCTTGTCCATCCCATGGCCATGAAAATTCAAGCTCGTAGATGGTTTGAAGGGTAAGTGAGGCAGGGCTTTATTGGGTGAAAAGGAAAAAAGAGGGGAAACAGGGGCTCTGAGCAAGGCCAGAATTCATCTAGAGCGCCTCCAGCCCGCAGCTCAAATCCCAGGTTCCACACAGGAAGAGGAGGGCCCAGGCTCTTCCCCGCTGCAAGTGGCACAAACTGCTGCGGCTCCACCCCAGTGCACAGGCCAGTTGGAGTTTTTCCGGGGACCTCCTCCCCGCTGGCTGTCTCACTGGGTCTAATAAAATTTCATTTACAGAAATAGTCAACCTGTGAGCCGTGGTTTGCTGCTTTGATTTTGATTTGATATTTTTAATATACTGCGTTAAAATGTTGTTTTCATGACTGAGTTTTTTGGCACCCCCTTAAATTTTACATCCGAGGCAAGTGTGTCACTTGCCTTAACCCAATCTCAGCCCTACATTGTCCTAAGAATTTAAGATTTATTAATATTACCAGAGAATAAATCAAGAAATGACAGTGTTCAAATGCATGAAAGCATAATTTTGAAAACTGCTCAAGTATGACTAATTCCATCTGTTCATATGTGTGAAAATTCAAGTCAACCCTGTGGAGATGGAGTTCTCTACCTTAGGAGGGTCCTGTAGGATGGGTTCCCAGCAGACTTGATGCCCAGTCTGTAGGCAAGAAGCAGAAATAAACCATGTGTAGGGCCGGCCCCACCTCAAGAAGTGTTTCTAACCTAGAAACCCAAGGAGCATAGGGGATGGTGCACAGCATTAGAGTGGTAAAGAAAATGGTAATAAACCCAAGGATCCAGTTCCAAATTTTCTGCCAATACCCAACTTGACCCATCAGTGAACCTAAACTGAATGAAAAGCTGCAGGGTACATTCCTATTACCCAAAGTAGCCTCTCCCACATAAGCTAATTCCCTCTTGGGTTTCCTCCCATAGATTGTGTTTAACAATAAGGATAGAGTAATTGGCAGAGCTAAAGCCAGTCACACAGGAGAGACTAGGCGTTAGCCCCTGCCTCCTGCCCCCACATAATGGATAATGTAGACATTCCCCAAGTTACGCAGTCATTCCATTCTGGAGGCTGTTGTGCAGCTCAGATTTTAATTTGAATCTAAAATGTTTAAGTACATGTGCTGTGTATTGCAATAATACCACCTATGTAACTGCAGGCATTATGCAGAAATAACACAGATGTTTGCAGCAAGTAGAGACAGTGTGAGACTTGCTGCAATCACTGCTGCCTGCTCTGTTGTTTTGGCAATACTAAGCTGAGTAATGGCTCCCAAAGACATCAGGTTGTCCTCCCTGGAACCTCTAAATATGATGGTGTTTGGGAAAAGGGTCTTTGTAGATGAGATTAAGGATTTTGAGATGGGGAGATAATCCTGGATTATGTGTGGGCCTTAACTGCAATTACATGCGTGTGGCAGAGGGCGATTTTGCTTACACAGAAGAGAAGGCAATGTGGAGATGAAACAGAAATTTGAAAATGCTGATCTTAAAGATGTTGTGACGAAGCCACAGCCAAGGAATGCTGGCAGCCACCAGA